GATAACGATGTCGAGGGAGCTTTCAAAAACGAATTAACGACGAAACATAATGTTCTCGTTCGTGCGCGTCAGATTTTTCAGCATTTCCGGAGTGATATCATTAGCGGGAATGCCTTGCGTCACGCGACTGCAAATAAAGCTCTAATGTTCCATGAAAATGCGCGACCTCTGGACTTTCCGCGGTGAAGAGATATCGATAAATAGCGTAGAATTAAAAATATCAACGCACGAGGAAACGATCAGACGGAAGTAAGAATACAAGCGCGAATGATAATTCCGGTTATTAAATTCCTTTAAGAGCGGGTTGCGCCGCGACGTTACGTGGTGCGTATGTACCTGCGCGTTGCCGACGTCGCCGGGGCATTAGCTATGTTCATTCCGGGGTCTCGAGCTGCGCCGATCAATAATTCGTTTCCCAGCTGTCACGCCCTTCGTCGCTCACGGACGGACGAATAAACGCGGCACCGACGAAAACCAAACGCTAATTTACAGCGCGACGCTAGGATATCTTCGATATTGCGATCCTCTTATCGTCGAAGTCGCCGGCACTCGAGCATTTTTCAAATTTCGTGCCGGTTTCTAATAATTATTGAAATTTGAATTAAATATTTTTTTCAACGATTATTTTTAAACGCAAGAGGCACGAAACGTCTCCGATATTAAACACTTTCAAATTTTTTATAAGTTTTTTTTTTATATATAATCACGCAGATAGAGTTTCCGCACGAAAGCCTCGTGTCGCCTGTCGAAACTCAATATCTTCAATCGGATATCGAGCATCTCGTCGTATCTAGAAACAAAACCTGCTTCATCTTACCCTCAACGAGTACAAAGCAATTTCGTCTCGCTCGCGATCTTCGCGATGGATCAATTGATAAATGGATTTCACGAACATTCGACAATCGAGATTTCCGAACTCGGATTGGTTCGATGCGGCTCTTCTTTTTTCGTCGGAGATCGTCCGAGAGTTGTCGAACTTTCGTCGGTCGGATAATGGTTGCCAATGCCCCCAGAAAACTGAGATACCACCAGCTGTGTTCACCCGCTTCATTACCTACCGAGTGAACGCAGAGTGGCTCCCTGTCCTCCGAAAGCTCGTTCCGCTGATCTCTCTCCTTGCACGTACGCTCTTACCGACCGTGTGATAATAGCCGTGTATAATCGTCGGGCCGCTGCTTCGGAATCCCTGCCGTTGCGAAGAGCCTTCGATTATCCCAACGCGGAGCGTCGTATTGTCTCCGCAATGCCAAATGCGCCATGCGAACGTGACATCTCGTTATCGATCCAGCTTTTAACATCATCCCCCCGCATTATACAGCGTGTGTGATCTTCGATTACGTGATATTCCGGAGTTTACACTCTAATATCGGAGACGGAAATGATATGGATTCGATTATTGCCTCTCGCATTCCCGAGCGAATTATTTATTCTTCTATCCTTATTAATACTTGGAGTGATTTAATTATTCCATAAATAATCGTAGTTGTGCCGCTTCGAAAATCGTGGTTCTAAACTAATTAAATTAGCGTTTACCTGCTTTTCTATCCAAAAATACATGTTGTTCGTATAACGAAATTTTTATCTTTCTTGAATGTGGAAATATATGATGACTTGCTTAGTGATTATTTTCCTATCGGAATATTAATAGACTGAATTAATCGACTGAATGTTTATTACAGCTTACTAATATAACTGTATTTCTTACAGATACTAAATAACGGAAAATATAATACTTTTCGAACGCGAGCCTGCGATCGAATGATCAATTGCGAAATCTTGTAATAGACGAATAGCGAATGGCGAAGAAACTGCTGTAGCAGAAGCGATTATCGCGCATCATTAACGAACATCAATGTAGCGCAGGCTCATCTGATTACGCATGACGTGTTTTACTACTTGCGCAACCTTGAGCCGAGGCACGATACGGAAGTAACCGAGAAGAATACATACGTCTTGATCCTCCGACACGCATTTAGAGGCTCAAATGTAGAATGAACGTGTGTACCGTGATCTTTGTTCTTTTGCACGTATAAATGTCAAGAAAATATTACTCTAATTTACATTAAATTTCAATTTACATTAAATCTATAAAAAAAATTCATATTTTATTCGAAGCTAAGACATCGTAGACCGCAAAATATAGAGAATATACGAAGAAACGTGAACAAAAGAAATAGCTGAGGAATGTCACAAATAGAAAAAAAAATTTGGCACATATCCATCTTTTCATCATTAAAATACGAGAATCCAACGAACTTGAGAACTCTTCAATAATTTGTAATTCAAAGAAGCTTTTAATAAATATTAACTTATTAACATCCTCATCACATTACGATAATATCGAAATTTCGTTAACAAAATTATATTTCATACAACTCTCAACCAAAGAGTAGAACATTGCGTCGGAAAAATACGCTAATTAAGTCGTTAAACGTTAACGATCCGAGAAAAAAGCGCTACGGAATAACGTCGCTATTCAATAAATAGTCTCGCTTTTTGTTCACGATCAATTTAAAACACCTCGCGGCCACTGTACATTTTCGCACCTTATCTTTCTTATCGTGATCTCTACGACGCGCTCTACGGTTCCATCTTTAATAACGTACACAGAGCGCGGCGCGTTTTGCGCTCAATAGTATAGCACAACCTGCGACGAAATCAACGCGACGCGGCCGCGTCCCAAGGTCAACGCGATAAGTCGGTCAAACCGTGGGGTTATCGCGCAATTCCGCATTTTGCTCGACTCGGTTTAAATGCCAAGTCCAACACTCGCGTAACCTTCGTTTTCCCGTCAGATCGGGAAGTAATTTTGAACAGTAGATTTCATCATACAAGTTGGATCGAAAATTTGTTCAATAAATGTAGTTTCAAATGTTCTTCCTAACACAATGATAATGTCATAAAAGTTATCCTTAATTTGAATGTAATTTTATACTAGAATATTTTATTAGAGCCTCATTCCACTAATTATAAAGAACACATTAAAATGATATTTTTACGCGGTAATAAGAATAATCGTATATAAATTGTTTCCTGTTCAACATTATTAAAAAAGTATTGCGTCTGAAAAAATGGTTGATCCATAGTTCATGAATGACAAGGCTAAAATTGGCCCACCCGATGACGCACTATTTCGGCGTGCTCAGCCAATCGTGTCAAGGTTTGGACAATTGCGTATCACGTAATTCGCACAACAACCTCAAACTTTCCAGCTATTCAATCGGTGTTTTATTCGCGATATCTCCTCCAACAGTGGTTTTTTTTTCAATTGCTGATACAATATTTATTGTAAGTCGAGAAGTAAAAACTAAATAAGTAACTAAGTAAACTTAGAAATATTATTCTTTATACGATATTTTCTTCAAAGCAAGGTTTCACTCACTTTATTCTCTCAAAATAAATAAGAAAATTGACTTTCCATTCTTTAAGAGTTAAGAAAAAGTTAAATATCGAAGAGATATATTGCGCAAACCACGTATTTTTTACGTATTTATTTGCAATTTTGTTTATACCGTCAATCGACGGAATAAAAATGGTCTGCTAGAGGTTTCTTGTGGGACTTAATATTCTCTTATTTCGCCATCGTTCGCTAATTATGTAAGAATGATCGTTGAATAAACAAGACGATGGTATAATCGCCTCTCTCTATCCGGTCGAGACCTTGTTCAGAGCGATAACCGACGACAACATAGAAGGAGAGAGAAAGAGAGAGCCAATTTCTTTCTATGAGCGGCGCAGAAAGTTGTTTTCGGAAGCTCACGCGGCTTCATTGAGAGCGTTGAAAACGAGCCAATAGGAGACTACACAGCAGAAAGTCTGTCGCGCATCGATGCGTCGTTCGCACGACACGTCACCGCGTCGTGACGTGCGTCCGTGCGTAGATTCGATAAACCCGGGCCAACGTATTTGTATCCGAGCAGAACCAAGAGTTGTAACTGAGGGAGCGTAAAATAATCAGCATCGACGGTATCGCAGGTGTTTGTTATAAAAGCCTGCTTAGAGTAATTTTCAAGCAAGCTATTTACAAAAGCTATTTCTGTAATGACATTTTTTAACATATTAACTGCCAAGTGATTATCATAAAAATTCTTCTTAGAATCATGAGCAGCCTGAAGTCTAAATTGGAGATTCAGCATATTGTTTATTATAAAGTTAAAATTATATTTTTATGCAATATCAAGAATAATTACATATAAATGAATTTCCTCTTAAACATGAATAATTAAAAAAAAATTTAGTGAATCTCTTTATAAATCGTCATTCTTATTTCAACGCCGTGATTTAACAGGAAAAAATTAGTGTCATGCAATGTTGCATGACGCACCAAAACAATAACAATAGTGTCATTCGTAAATGAATGACGGCAGTTAGTATGTTAATTTTGCATAATAGGGATCTGTGTTTCTCGTGAAACAAATCTCTTGATTCGGCTCGGACATGAAAAGGAGCACAGATCCGTTTACACCACACACGATTTTCAGGCACTAATCAGTGCCTGAAAAAATATGCACGAACGAAAGTTTACTCCAAAAACTCAATAAAACAAGGTACAATCAATAATGGCATTGATTATAAACAAAAGTTAAGTGTAACGCACAGAAATTTTGATCGATTCCGTGTAATTGTCACACTGATATTAGATATCGTAATGCTAAAATAAATTCTTTTACTTAGATAAATAAATCTTTAATTATCTCACACACGCTTTGTAAACCAAGACAAATTTCAAGTCGATATCGCAGCAGTGTAAACGAATCTTGACTCTGAGTCAGTATGATAAATTGTTGATCAATCCGAGAAATCAATTCCCAGTTTTTTGTTCCGCCTCTTAATTTCAATTTTTCAATTAATCACAAAATATGCCAATCGTTAATTCGCTAATTCTTTTAATGATTGATTGGCTTTACTAGAAATAATTGAATTTTATGCGAGAAAAAATGGTGTTGATTTCTCAGCCGATCTATTTTTGATATACGAGAAAAAAATTGACGGCTACTTACAGTCTGCTGCTGGGCTCATTGCTGGCTTCGTCGCCTTCGATCCGGTACACCTTGCCGGACATGACGTACTCGAAGCTATCCGCTCTGGAGCCGCCCTCCTGCTCCAAAGGATTCCACTCGTTGCCGTCGGGATATCCATCCTCGCGCAATGTCGTCGCCAGGACGAGGCGAAACTTATCACCTGGAGAAACAATGTTTTTGTTAGACGCACAAATTACTCTAACGCCGGATGTTAAATAATTTCTGCTTTGGAAAAATTTGCAAAAGTTTGCTGAAGAATATTAATTAAGATGTAGATGTAAAAATAATAACAGCTAATACAAGTAACATATTTATCTGCAATAGTGCAGAAAAGAAACAGAAATTATTCTCTTTTTCTTTTCCTGAATATTATATGTGGAAAGAAAATTTAAAAGGCCGAGAGATGTTTACTCAGACTTTGCGAACCAATTCTTTAAAAATTTGAGAGATTATTTAAGGATTTCTTTTCAATCTTTCCAGACAGCACGAAGACAAAACTTTGCAGCATCTGTAGGATTAAATACGCGAGAACTGATGGATATAAAACGTGCTGGTTTATTATTTCAATGACTAGATAATGGTATATTATCTACGTCATAATGCCAGGTGTCCGCGCTGAAGCGCAGGATGATATCGCGAGAACAAAAAAAGCGTTGACACAAGTCGTGCTATGACGAGATATGTAACCAGGTCCAATAATAGCGTTTTACGTGAAATGCATATGAAAAACACATCGCTGCTGCTGTATATACAGTTTGCAACAGTCGCGCCGTATCCGCTCGTCGCTGGCGAATGCTCCGCGCTGGTTTTATGTAAACTGACGAATCCACCCTTTCCACCGCGTCTGCAACATTTATTCGCGAAATATTCACCTTACACCTCGCTACGTGATGTGTGCATTTATATTTAAAGAATATGCACTTCGTTCAATACAGTTTACAGAGAAAATAAACGTGAAATTTTGTAAATAAATTATTTTTCGTATTCTTATCTTTGCACTCAATACTTGTTATTATTATTAATACATCGATTATGAAAAGAACATACCGTCGTTCGTCAATCTATTTTTATTTCCGTGTTTTTTTTTTTAAATATTTGTTGCATAGTTCGTCATGTAATAAAATATAAAATAATCGCAGGCACAAATTTTTCTTTCTTCCCACCGCAATCAAGATTGCCTTAAAATAGATGGAATAAAACTTGAACGATCAGAGTGAGATTTTAATCGAAAGTCAGGACGATTGGATTGATTAACCTCGAGTTTCGAAACTTTACTCGCAGGAGAGAAAGTGATATTGGGGTGACGTTATTAAAAGGAAGAAAACAAGATTACAGGTTTAAATTCAATCAACATCGTTAAATCGAATTAATTTAACGGGATTTGGATTTCTCGACTTTGGATCAATAAACTTACACGCCGTAATTTTCCGAAGATACCATCCTAGTACACCAGACGCGCTTTTAATACCAAAATGTAACGCAATTTGCCTCGCTTATGCGAAATTAAGTTAGACGCGCGAATCAGGCTCTTCCGGGATTGCGATTGAGATCGATACGAGCAAGAAGGAGGAAGCGACGCGTAAGGACGAAAGATAGCGGTATATGGGTAAGAGAAATGGGAGAAGCTGCTAAAAGGAGGTCACGGCATTAGATTGAAACTGGAGCAAGCGAGGAAAGAGAAAATTGAAGGAAAAATCGTGTTTAAAATAAATGTCTTCAAAACACTTTTTTTTATACACGTAACTGAAGATTAATCTTATTTCACTACTTTAATCAAAATTGCCGTCAGTAAAATCTAACGAATCAATCAATTGAAATGGCTACGTGATAAGTAAATAAATAAATTCATTATAATTTCATTTAAATGTGTAAATTTTTGGACGAAAAAGAAGCCCCAAACTCTTAATAATTGAATCGTTGCGGTTCGAAGTGGATGCGCGAGATCTTGCACAATTAATTGAAGCGAAAAAATTCCGACATTCTCACATCTATCCCTGGATTGGAGCGAAACGTAAGAAAGCCCGGGACGCAGGGTCAAGGTTAAGTACACACCACGTATAGCAGGTACAGCACGGGCTTTAATCGATACTACATCGTCGGCGCTACCACCGCCACCACCGAGAGAACCCCGTACATATATATATATATGTATATACGTCCGGCAAGTATTAAGATATTTACAACCCAAGCAGGCATAATTTTCTCCTAGTAGATAAATAATCAATTAAGCTCTCTTTCCGTTCTTCTGTTTTTTTCACACCCTATCTATTAACATTTAAGAGTCAGTATTATTTTTAGACCTTGTCGGACTCATTTACTTATCATTACACTTACTTTACGCTAAAACGGATATAACAAATTGGGATACCGCAGATATCATGCGCTTCCACTTTGTTCGCCGATAATGTTAAAAGGCTTTTTTGCATATCGCAGATAAAAGGTTAAATTCGACTCGCCTCGGATATTATCAGCGCGAACGAGTCGGGAAAACCGGTCAATTGATCTCACCGCTCCCGGCGAGGAGCAGAGGTACGTGAGCTGAGCTTACATCATAATGGTGCCACACCGTAACAGCGGCGGTCTGCTATAGATCATCCGGTCGTGTGTTGCGCGGTAATATCTCGCGCTTAAATTAACCCTCATTCGACCGAAACGGCATGCCTGATGAACCAGGTATACCGCTTGTCTCGTTTGTAAAGTTTTTCGAAAGACCCGTAATGCGCGACGAGTGGTTAAAACCGCAATTTCCAAAACAAAGAAAAGAAAAAAACTTTTTTAAATTATTCGTTTCAAGATAAAAAATTGAGTGCGTATCGCGAAGAGATGTACGTCGGTAGCTCGCTGATTTTTTTTAACAAAGGAAAATGAGAAAAAAGATCAGTGAAAAATCGTGATCTCGTAATTTTCGTGAACAATTGGACTGTTTTCGAAGTAAAAATATAGATGAAAGATGATTTTGCCTGAAGATAACCGACTTGTTTTTAGAAATTCGATGCGATAATATACACAAATATCGATTGGAGTACCGCAATGACTAATTCGACCAGTTAAGGATTGGCGAAACGCGGAACCGGGAAGAAAGGACGAGCCCTGGCGGACGCGGATTCACTCACGGCGGTGACCTTGAGAGATCGCGCGGCGGTCCTCGCGCGCGGTGAGAGGGCGAAGGAAGGCCTCCCACGGAATCGATAACGCGTGACAGCGCGCGGTCTCGGCGGCGATATATACACGCGTAGGGGGTGCGGGGAGATCCAATACAATGATGCGGCGGCTTACCTCGACACGGGTGCGCAGCGTCCCGTCCGGGTCCGTCCGAAATCCGCCGCCATCTTGGCCCGTGACGCGGAGCTTCACCGGGGTGGCGCAAAATGCGCTGCCGCTTCCGCGAGTGCGGATTCCGCTTTCTCCGCGCCGACGACGACGACGACGACCTTGTCGCCTCTTCCGACCGTGCGGAGATTCGCGAGATCGCGACGAGTCGACGCTTTCGATCGCCGCCGCGCACTACTTGTTCTCCTTCTCCTCCTCTCCCTCATCCCTCTTCGTTGACGCCCACGCGCGACGGGATGAGGGCAGGAAACTTCCTGGAAATTCCCCGCGACGTCACACTTGAAACGTTCGCGTCGTTTGTCGAAAAGCGCGGCGTATGTCGGCGTTTGCATCGTCGCGCATTCGGCAAAAAGTTTGCCACGAAACGGCACTCTGACGTCGCGCGTATTCAAAATGTCCGCTCGTTCCTCTCTCATCATCAAGGCGAACGACGTCACACGAACGATAATGCCCGCACCTGCTGCTGCAAAACTCGTTCACGGCACTCGGCGCGCGTGTACCCGAAATCCGGTTCGTAAAACGTCACGGGACACGTTACGTACCGTCCCTCGCGTCGGAAAAAAAAAAAAGGTGGCAGATGTGTCCGCGGCGCGGGGGCCGGCGACGAAAAACGGATGGTCACGATTTTGCGCGAAACGACGCGCGACGTGTTTTACTCTCGCCGTCGTCGCGGAAGAGATAACGCCGGCGGTTACGCGGAAAAGAGGGACACACACGGAGCGGGCGAGCTAGCCGCCTCTCCTTCTCGAGGACGAGCGAAGAGCGCGCAGCAGCGCTCGTACACAACCGACACGGCTGCGAGTCGCGGCCACTTTGACCTTGGCATTGAACTTGTGGGCGCCGAGCGCGGAGCGGGACGCACGACGGGGAGAATCTGCGCCTGCGGAAGGGAACGCCGAAGTGGGGTAACGCAGCTGAGCTGGTGAAGTAAGAGGGGATGGGCTCGCGGGGGTGAGGGGAGAAGCGAGGGAGGAACGAGCGGACCGGTATCCTGGTGGGAGGGAGGATTGCGTCATCTCGCGCAAGCCTGAACGCCGCGCGTCAATACAGCGGAGGAGAGACTCGCCTGCCTCTGTGGCCCTTATGATCTAACCTTCCCGCTTATGTATACGCGTATATATTTGTATATATGTGTGTGTGTGTGTGTGTGTGGATAAATACGCATAAGTTCAGTTTAAATACATACGCTTAATTATTTCTTGAGCCTTGACTGCCTTCGTAGGGTCCGCCGGATCGCTTTATTATTTTTGTATCAAATTTTTGGATAAAGGAAACTTTTTTGCGACACTGTTATATCATTGTGCACGTAAGTGGCAAAACGTAATACGCAGAATTAAGAATGAAAAATAAATGAAAGGTTTCAAGAGGGTGATATATGAAGAAAATTGAGTGATGCTCTCGCAAACCGCATAATACCAGTTAAAGGTTGAAAAATAATTAAGTGTACATATTTAAACAGTTAAAGGTTAAGTGAAGAATATAAAAAGTTTATATAAAAATTGTTTGAGCAAGGAAACGAAAGATAGTATTGCAATTATAAGTTTTAAATTGCCATTTATCCAGATTACAATATCAATTTCAATAATGACGTTCAATTCACACTTCTAGATCTAATTATACTTGCTTTACAAAAATTGAGCACTTTGTCATGCGTGACATAATCTGGCTATTATCATCGATATTATTACACGCAATATCTAAATAAAATAAGTAATTCATTAAAAATCTGTTATTGAATGAGTAATAAAAGAGTAAAATAAAAATGTACATTAAAAAAAAGAAATTATGTAATCTTGAAACTTCGATAATTAACAATTCGAAGAAAAATTTAATTTCTATTGCTCCCACACTAAAAATCAAACAATTTTTATATAAACATTTTTTTATCTTTTGTGTAATAATGTTGTCTTAAATAATAATTGAATATGGCCGTTTTATCCACTTATTTATCGATATCAAATGACTATTATAAATGAATTGAAATTTTGTTCAATTTAGGAATAATATAGTTTAATGGATTCTCTCGCAGAATATTTGGTTCCACGATATGACGAATCATTTTTTCACTCAATAAATAAATTGTAATTAATTGCTTTTATCACTTCGTTTGGGCTTTTCGAAAACTGAAAAATTATTCAAATTTGATGAAATGTAAAATATAAATAAAAGGCTTAAACGCTTCAATATAACACGATGAATATGAATATTCAAACTGATTTCAATTATATTAATATGATTACAAAAAATTGATAGTATCGTTTAGTGACAAAATCATGCGACATATGTGTATCCTAAATACCGAAATGCTCAAGCGTCATAAATATTCGATAAATGCTCGATCCAATGCGATCAATAAATCACATTAGAGTATGACCAGCTCCTGACACGAGTTTCATTCCAAGGGCAAAGGGGAAAGGGAGACGGAAGACTTCTCGTAGACGGCGATCCGCGGAGAGAGTAGGTTACCGACAAAATAAGGCATCACCGTCCCTAGGTCGGTCGAACTTCACCAATCGCCGCGGTCGCATCGGTAAAATGAGAGGCGGAGCCAAGACGCGTCCCGACGTCCGGACCCGGTCAGCGAGCGTGTTCCCATTGGTGAAGTTCGAAGACGAGGCAGCATTTAATCGCCTCGATCGCGCTATACTCCGACGAGACGCAACGTGCTCGTCGGAGCCAAGATGGCTAGGCACGACGATAAATTTCACGTCATCGTGTGTCTTTCCGCGTAGCTAGATAAAGGATCGCGAAAAGATGGCGAGTCCCGGAAAGAAAAAGAAAAATATAAAGCCATTTTCATAAAAGTATGAATCAGCGCAGGGATGAATCGACAAAGAGGGAACGCAACTAATATTTCGTTGATATTAAACTCATTCCTGTTAATTTAGACAAAGACGCAAGTTAATTTAGACAAGACGAAGAATTTGAGCTTGCAAGTATCGCTTCGGTAATTAAAATTGTATTTTTTAAGCCACTTCTTTTGAGGAAAATAAGAAGACAAAAAGCTAGAAATGAATCTGATTTCTCAAAAATATTTAATATAAAATTCATATGCTATATCATGTATATATTGACTCATATTATGTAAAATGTATTGATAAAAAATATAAATAGAAATAATATAAATTATTAAAAGAAAACAGACATTATTAGAATATAATTCAAATTGTGTATTCTTTTCGAAATAAAATACAACAATTATAAGATTCATAACAGTAAAAAACCTTCAATTCTGAAAATTGTCTTTGTATTAGGTCTCCTCAAAAGTAATAGTCGACTAATTTGGTTGACCGTCAAGTAAAATGCATCAAGATAGACCTTCATAAATGGGGAAACGTCTTGCTACTGCAGCCTCAGTTTAGCCTTGGCCAGCGCATTTGCTCTCTTATGCGGATAAAATGTATATCGTCGACGACTTTCAGTGCCACATCGTGCGACGCATCGCAATTTCGTCAGCGACAGTTCAGAAGACAAATGCGAGAAATCCGCATTAGTGACGGAAGTGTACCAAAAGCAAAAAGTGACAAATAGTAAAAGAAATAGGTTTTACACGTCTTTTGCGCCAAGGATCTGAAAAATGCGACCATGTCGCATTTACGTAGCGCGGAAAGAAAACATTTTGTACACAGTGTCTTGAACAATGTGATATGTTTGAAAAATATAAATTGCTTGTACTACGAAAAGATTTTTAATATTTTCTGCGTTTTCCAAGATGCACGGCAACATCACTTTTAGAAAAATGGATGCAGAAAATTATTTGTTATACTGCAGCATGTAAAAATTATTTTCAAATATACACGACAGTCTTTCACTTCCGATTATTTATCTATTATTTATCTAAAAATTATCGATATCTCGATATAAAAAAAAAAAACGGAAGAGAAAACTAATTATAAACTTTTTGGAGAAAAAAAGCAGACTGCAAAGCTAGGTAATTTATTTTAGAATCGCTCTATACAGAAGACAATCTCAGAGCTCAAGAAAGAGACCGGAAGCGTCGTTGGCGAAGTTTCGTAGTCAAGCGAGGGAAGCAGAATATCACAACTGCTCACGGTTGCCAAGTGCATTTCGGAAGATTACGTTCGCTTATAAACGCCAAACTGCAATTTCGCAGTTGAGCTTGCGGCGCGATGGCGCGACTCGAAAGACGCGAATCCTTTGTGCGCTTTTATATATCTAAAAGTATCGGCAGCAACTTCTTTAAAATTCTAACAATAACAATATAGCAGTGCGGCATTCTTGAATAAAAATTTAATTGACCACGAAATTATTTCAAATTGGACAAAACTTTTGAACAATTCATGCATATGACAATGTCGGAAAGTTTTCAACTAGAAGGATTTCAATTTAATCATTCCATTTTGACAATCTTTCACATAAAATTATCTTCTATATTGCAAAATTAATTAGTACTGATTTCAATAATATAATATACGCTGCCAATTTCATTAATTCATCTCACCATTTAATCATTTGACACACTTTAACGTCGCTAAACTTTTCGAATATCCTGTATAATAAAGCCTTGTCTTGCATGAAGCGAGTTTTGTTTTTAACGAATTTTTCTACAATGTTTAAAACAGAACGTTTTAATCAGAGGATAGGTTTTCGCGTTTCAGTAAAATGTGAAATATGAAAAACTAGCGAACGAATGTTATCGGACCGGCGGCCCGATCGGAAATTACGACTTTGCGCACGTCGTGTATGGAATAAAGAAACGATACCGTGGTGTATGTTTTTTTTTTCTATTTCCTCGACGGATAGATTTCCGGGCTAAAATTCGGTTTGAGATTTCGAGATAATAACGTATGTCGCGGTGAAAAGTGGATGAAACATTATATCGTGCACCCGCAAGAAAAGTGACACAAGTCAAAAGTATCAAATTGTTCAGGAGAGAGAAAAGAAGAATTGCGTTAATAATAACAGTTTCTATTAAAAATATTATGAGATAATATTTTTTGGTTGGAATTAGTTTTTTATTTCAAATTCTATCGCAAGTTATAAATCGTCTGAAGCAAGTTTGATTTTACGGAAAATAATTTCACATCTCTATGCTTGATTAAGCAATAATTTTAAAATTAACTATTTACGGCAGTATCAAACGTAGCAGATTTACGCGGAAAGTATTTGAATTCAACTTCCATCACTTTTTCCCGATTGAAGAACGATATATTTAGAACACAATCCGCACATAAAACGAAATTCAAAAAATTTCGATTTGTGTCACTTGTTTTGCAAGTGTGCGATATGTTAATATAGCAATGTTGTATGTTTGTTTACAAAACATCATAAATATGCAGTAACAATGTAGCTGAATGTATTATTTGCAAAATATTGTAATCATGTAAATATTGTGTTAATAAAAAAAATATAAATAAAGATGAGAGTCAAAAAGTGAAAGAATTTTTCATTTTGAATTGATTTGGCAATAAAAAGTCTCTTTACTTTTTAACTTTCTCTCGTATGTAAAAAATGCAGAGTACAAATTATACGCGCTTACATACGCGTTTATATCACAAGTATAATAAAATATAAATTATAAAATTTTATAAACAATAATTCTATAGATTTAGTAAAATTCTATCAATAATATAATTCAATAAATAAATAAATTATATAAATTCTACGTAGCCATTTAACTTTTTCATGTAGCGTCCAATTATTTTGTTTGGAGAAAAAGACTACCAATAGTTTAAAATATATAATAATTTTTTCGCATACTCTCTTTTGAGTATTATTTCTTTAACAAAATTGCATATATCTTTTTTAAAAAAATTTCGTCATATGCCATTTGCTTTCGAAATTACATTACAAATATAACTATGGTCATATTTCATACAGTTAATGTTTCTCTATCAGTTCAGAAATATTGCAAGCAATAATAAAAAATAGCTTAATGTCTTTGTTTCAATTATTCGTAGCTAAAAATAATTAATTTAACAATAAAAGGCTCACCTAACTCCATAGGATACAACCAACTGTTGATGTCCAGAATGAGATCCATTTTGAAGGATTCCGACTCACAATGAAGTCTGCTCACTAAACAAACAAAGAGCACATTATTAAAAATGCGTGATGTACACATATAATGTTTGATGACTGATTACACAACACTATCGCGGTGACTCATAGATTCGCCCGAAAAAATCATCGAGAGAAAGAGAACTCTTATTTTTGCTCGAACCAGCTGACGTCACCAATGGTCAAATGAATGTGTTTCAATTTGCGATATCCTATCGATACACAAGCGCACACAAATACACACACTTATATTTACAATAATTGCCAAATTGAAATGTCTCTCTTTCGAGCGTTATCAGCTCGCGTCGGCCGAGCGCTTTTGACGTTAACAATAGAGGCGAAAAATGGTTTCAATTCTTTACACAGAATCATTTATTGCTATTATTATGATCTGAAAAGGGCGATTTTCATTAATCTTCGATAAAATTACAGTATCAACTTTATTATCCAAATTTGCTCGTGAAAGCGAGTGAACATTTAGCAGCGTCAGCGCGACATTTTGCGGCGATTATTGCAATATGTAGGAATGCACTATGTTGCATTTACATAAAAGAAACTTCGGACTAACAATTCTTTTATTTGACCAGTCAATTGAACAATATTCTACGTCATTAAGACATTTCTCATCAGAATAATGCCCAAAAAATTATACATAAACGCTAAGATACAAAGGATATTTGTGGTCTCTCAATAGTGCAAATCGTCTCGTTGAGTGTCGTTCCGCTAATGCTAAATCAAGCTCTGTGAAATTCCACAGAAAAGCTAGTAAATGTAACGCCGTATTAAATTAATTCAAGACACCTATTGTATTGTGCAAGAGCCAAGAAAAGTCTGGAAAAGAGTTTGTAAAATACGACTAGATTATAATAAAATCCTTTTATTAAAATGTCGAAATTATTTAATCGCGGAAGCAGGGATTTTCCTAAACTATTCGGCCTTTCTCACCACCGCACATTATGTTGTCGCTCATTCAAGCGATAATGATGTCGGGTTTAATTCCGGGCCAATGAAAAGAACTTTTGTGATGCCGCTGTTACCAAGGTCACGATATAAGCGCCAATAAATAATATAAAAAAAAAAAACCAACTCTCGAGTGTTTCATAATTAAAATACTATATTGCATCACAATTTTTTATCTGATTTAATAAATAAATTTAATAAAATTAAAAGATCGATAATTTTGAATTTGGCAATGTTTTAATATAAACCATTGGTTTTGAAAAAAAATTCACGCTAAAGTAAAAAGATGCGAAAGCAAAGATATTTATAAAAGAACTTGCAATCGCAATTCGCGTCGAGAAAACGAAATGTGAGAATGCATTGTTCAAAATTCGAAATACATATATAAGATTCTGATTGTGTTACAAAGAGGTTTCCGACGTGTCACATTAAAAAATAGGAACATCGACGATAAAACGACAAGAATATTGCGAGTTGTATCACGCATTTGCGAATGCAACGTTGCGAATTTCGCGCACGCGACTCAAATAACAATTTCTCACAGGCACAATGCAAAAATGTATTATATCTTTTTTTCGCCTCTAAAATGAGTCTTTTCATGCTCTTTCGCGCAATTTACATAATTATTAGCTTTATGTAAACAATATCTCGTTTTTTTTTTAAATAATATTACCTGTTGCTTTAAATAATATTACTTATCACTTTGATGAGAAAAAAAGACAGAAATTTCTCGGAGAGAACGCGATCTTTCATCTTGACAACAAGATGTTTACGAGGGACGTCCTTTCTTAGCGACAGCCATGCTTTAGTAAGTAACGAATAATCGGATGATCGAGAGAGTTACACGTGTCGCGCCTCCGCCGGATATCTCGCCATACGCAGCCTTGGGGATCCAAGGTCCACACTCGACGTCGATTTCGTCGATGCGCGAGATGCCGCTTTGCGATAATCTAATATCGACACCAGCGGTGGTGCCATTCTCACACGGCTGATCTCGAGGGCTTGCGAAATGAATCATCGGCGATAGATCAACGTCAATTGAACGTTGGAGAAAGAGAAATATATTTAAGCGCAGCTGACATGCGACGTAAGGTCTTGAAAAACTTGTTAAAAAACTAAATATGTTTCAACACACGTATATTAATTTCGCATTTAAACCTTCGCGATCGGAATTTATTTCGACAAATAAAACAATGTTAAATACTTTCTTCTTTTACGTTATTTTATATTGTGAAAATAAATTTATAGGTAAATTATAATGTGACGCAATAATAAATGGTGCCTCAAAATAACCTAGTTTCCAGATGTAATATAGATTTTGAATTTTCAATCTCTTCAATATCAATCGCTGTCAAGTGCAACGTCACGAGACACTTGTTTCTAAATTTGTCATACCGTCGCTTTCATCGATTTTTTTTCAACTTTCAATTTTGCATATTTCAATACATCGTCCATTTCGCACACATCTCTTATTCAGATAAAAGCTTTTTACAAAAATAATATCGAACGTCTTTCTCGTTCGCTCTACAACTGCGGATTTTAGCACTGTAGCAAACTCGTGGAATATACATGGAGAACGCGCAAAAGTTTCGATCGTATTTTGGATTTCGCGAAATACGGGGACTCGGTGTGCGAATCACCGGAAGTCGTCACCGCCGGCGAGGAATTATTTCAAAAGCTTACTCACGCGAATGATCCGGCGTCCGTCGCTCGCCGATCTAGATGTCCCGGAGTCTCGGTTTCGGGAGAACGGAACCAGGAAGAATGCGTGCACCGGCGACGTTCGCTCGCGCCACCATTTTTCCGCCTACGCATTCCACCGTTCTCCCCAGCTGATTCCGCCCTCCTCGCATCATCCCTCCCTCCCTTTTTTCCGCCGCCCCTCTGTCGTCCCCTTCCGTTCTCACTTTTCCTCGCTCGCTACTCCAATTTCAAATATTTTATTCCTACAAGTATTCGGCCTTCAAAAAAACCCTTTCCTACTTTCTTTCTCTCTCTCTCTCTCTTTGTTTCTTACTCTCTTTCTCGGAAGGTTTCACGTTTCGCGTCGATAAGAATGTTAAATAGTTAACCCCGAGACGAGTAGCGCGACGGCACGACAATCCGGTCTCGTTGCTGACGTTGCTCTCAGCTGGCAGCTTTCGCGGAGAGAAGCGAACCGGCGGCGACGGCGCCGAACAAGGAGAGACACACCAGCAACGGCGCGACCTTTACGGTCCATACGCTGCCAACGTAAATTTTCCAACGAGCTGCCTCCCCTCTCCTCGACAAAGGGCGGCCGCCCTCCCCCGAACGGCTCGTGCCACCCCCTCAGGCTCTCTCTCTCTCCCCTCGTCGCTCCGGAAGAGGGGAGGAGGTTGCATCCTCCCTCTCGCAGTGCACCAACGCTCGTTCTCCATACTTCTCGGATGAATTTACGTTGACGCCGCTTCCCCACGGCAATGAGAGGGAGGAGAAAGATTAGGAGCAAGTTGCATCGACGATCTCAGCATCAATTTGCTCTGGATTATCGATTCTCCGTCCCACTTTAAATTATGGGATCTATCTCTCTATGGCATGGACGGAGAAAGTTAACGCTGCGAGCGTGTAATCATTGGCGACAGTCCGGAAATTTAGTTCTATTTCGAGAGAGGTGTTTTCGAAGATCTATAGCTCGGACGTTGTAAATGCAAGAAATGTTTGGAGACTGCGATAAATTCGTCTCGAAATAGAATTCTATATTACAGTTTTGTTCAAGCGACCGAACTTGGTTCTCCGATCAGTTCTCGAAAATAAAAAATTGAATCGACAAAAGTGAAGATTAATGTTGGTGAAAGTAAAATCGAAATCCTCGCGTCAGTGCGTTAAATAATAATAAAAAAATTGGCGAATAAATTAATATTCATATTAAACATTTTAAAATTATCGTCGATGCATATCTACGAGTTAGCAACGCAAGAATTGTTTGTAGATTAAGTTTTATTCTTAGAATTATACAGCGCGAGAGAAACTCCTGATCTGAACAAACAGAAGTTTCTCGGGCAAAGATAGAAGGAAAGTGGATTTTGCGTCATAAACACCACAATTTCGTCATCGTAACGTTCGAAATCTCACCGACATTGCGTGAGCTTCGTCTCTGACGACGAGCGCGAAAGACAGACATACACTTGTGACCTTTACACTCTCACCTCTACGAGATGCCCATCTTCGCGAACTATTCGCCATCTCCGTCGCGCCAAGCGAGTCCAACCCACCCCCATCTGTCCCTTCTGTTATCGGGAGGGGAGGAAGAAGAGGGCTTAACCGGCCACCCCCAATGCGCCTCGGAAACAGGACGAAAGGGATGGCAATGCACTTACCCCCACACTACCACTCCCGACGCACCACTCCGCCTACTCTGAGTTCTTTTTCCCACCTCTCACCGACCTATCTCGCCCTCCGCCCCCTCCTCCGAAGGGATTTTTTATCCTTTCGTCCTGTTCTCGCTCCCGTCTGTGGTTACCTCGCGCCGGTTCGCCATTCTATTTTTTTCGCGAGCTTCATTCTTCCCCACTACGGGCTCTGCTTTTCAGCTTGTTGCGCAGGGTGTTCGCAGGAAAACGAACGGGATTTATACACGACTATATCACTAGCGATTTACGATTCGATGATAAAAAAGAACGTTTTCTAGAAAAATGGCAAAGTTTTCTTATTCTTGCGCCGACGACCACTTTTCTCTTTGTAAAAAGTCCGCTTAAACGGAGATTACGGGTCTTAAAACGAACATACTAATTGTGAGTAACTCTCATTCTTCTTTTTATTACGTCAATTTCACCCAAGTTCTTTCTGTTTTTCACATCCTATTATCGTAAACGAGCGCTTATATCGAGATACATATTTCTCGCGCCTTCGTCTGCGATTCTCTGCGTGAAATTCTATAGCTTTACGAGAGGTAATATTTTCAGCTTGCGTTTAATTACAGGTTGTAATGCTTGGCTCAGAAATGGTAATCGGTACAATCGTCAAGTGAAATGCAGAGATAGTAGGTTATTTTCAACTAGCAAATCCGGCAAGAAGCGTCGTAAAATGCGCAACGCTCC